GTCAGGAGGAGGGTTTCTGTCCCCAGTGAGGTGGGACGGGTGGTTCTTGGCACTGGGCTGTGGGTACCAAGTAGCCCATCAGGCTTCTGACTTATTCTCTCACCACAGTCTGCGAAGCCAGAGGCTGAGCCCCAGGAGGACTCCCAGGAGCAGTTGCCCATCCTGGCAGACATGATCCTCTACTATTGCCGCTTTGCCACGCGTCCCGTCCTTCTGCAGCTCTACCAGACAGAGGTAGGCAAAGGGGCTCAGCCCCATCTTGGCAAGGGGAAAGGGGGGGTCTTCTGCCTGTGCCACCAACTCAGGACCTGCCTGTGAGGCGATGGGGGTGCGGTGCAGCCATCACGTGCTGGTGAGGCAGAGCTTGGTCTCCTCTTGCTCCTTGGGTGCCCATGGTTCTTTGGTTGATGCTCCTGGCTCAGGGATTGAGAACATGCAGGTCCTGCCGGACAATCCTTAAGTCACACCAGCAATTTTCCATCCAAATACCTTTCCCCATGACGCAAAGCAACTCCTGTCAGTGCTGACAGGTTATTCACATCGCTGGAAATCCCTCCAGTGCTCTACTTTTCAAGCCAAGCCCTTCCATGAAGCCTATTTTCTACCCCCCGCTGTGCGCGTGGGGCAGACACGGTGGGGAAAGTTGGATGCGTGGCTGCAACGACTGCTTTGGTGCTGTGACACGGGACCGGCTACAGTGGGGCTGTGATGAGCAGAGTTGCTGCTGTTCATGGGATTTGTGTCACCCAAAGTCAGGCCCAGACCCTGCTGTTAGGCTTATTGTGGGTTGGGGAGTTTTCTTTAAGTGAAAATTAGGTTTTTGGGTTGTTTTACTTGCTGGTAGTCTGTTAAAACAGTCTGAAGTACAGCGGAAGGTAAATGTCACCCAAGGTAGCTGTTGAAACGTGTGTTTTGAAAACATGAAAGGGTTTTCCCAAACTGACCTGTTCCTGTAGAAAGGAGTGAGAAGGGTGAACGTTGCCTGGCACGGGCTGGGTCTCCTCACCACCACCTCTTCACTCTTCTCCCCCTGGCAGCTCACCTTCATCGGGGGAGAAAAGATGACCGAAGTCTTCATCCATTCCCTCGAGCTGGGCCACTCGGCAGCCACGCGGGCCATCAAGGCGTCAGGTCTGTAGCTGCTTCTGCAACCACGGCCTCGAGGTGGAGGTCTGCAAATCACTGGGCTGGGAGATAAAGAGGGACCGGAGGGAGCGTGGGCTGCAAGAGGTGTTTGAGCCCAGCCTGCGTTGTGAGCAAAGGCCCAGATATCTTTTCACAAATTTGGAAGTGAAGCATCCTAGTTTTTGCCTTTCTCTTCAGAAGTGAAGCTGTGGCAATGCCTGGTTGTTTTTACTGCTGTTAACTCTCAAATGTATTTGCAATAAAACAGCTTCAAGCCCATTTCCTTCCTGCCATCAGCACCTGGCCAAAAGCAACTCTTCATTTTTTCTTTTTCCTGTTTTCTGTTGTTTGTGCTTTGTCCAGGAGTGTCATTTATAAAATCCCTCTTTCCATTTCTTTAGTTTACTGGGCGAAGCAAGGTTTCTGCATGTGCTTGGAGCCTTTCTGCAAGGGAGATCCATGAGCTTTTATGCTAGGGATTTATAAAATTGGAGAGAGCAGCGGCAATGGCCGAAGCACCTGCCCGGCAGTCTGGGCTCAGCTCCCTCCCGGGTACCAAGGACCACAAGCGGTCTGGCGCAGTGCAGCTCATAGAGACATCTCATGGCCAACCAATAATACTGCATTTAAACATATTGCTTGATTATTTTTTTTTTTAACCAACTGCTTTTCTGTGATCTCGCCTTGTCTTTCTAAATAGAGCTCATAAAATACCCTTCATATGGAGTGTCACCACCCTGCTCCCCTAAAATACAGGCTTGGCCAAGACCTCTTCCCAATAACTCGTGAAACCACCAATCCTTCTGATTTTTTTTTTTTTTTATTATTTTTTTTTTCCTTGGGTTGTCTGGCAGCCAACCACTTAACATCTGCAAAAAATTATCTGGGGGTGAGGGGGGAGAAGTTAGTAAGTGTTGGGCACAGTATTTCAAGGCTAATTGAATGTGGGCAGAAATATGCGTGGAAAAACAGGAGCTGGGTTAGCAACGCGGCCTTTTATTGCTTTGTGTTTTCCCTGGAGCACTGACCTCTCTGCACCAGCTTAGCCAGCACTGCTTTCAGTTTTGCAGAGCTGCTTGTTGTGCTTTGTGTTGAAATTTCTGCACTGGATTAATTGCTTTCTGGCAGCTTTTAAGCCACCTTTTCTTTTTGCCTTTTTTTTTGCTCCGCAGCTGTGTTCAGCAAACCATTTATTTTTTCCCCCCTCTTCCTTTCTGTAGGTACCGAGTGTGCTGCTGTATCAGTAGCCAGCTGAAGAATAGGGATAAAAGGCCACCGTGTGACATTTGGTCCTTGTTTCATGCAGGTCCAGGCAGCAAAAGGCTCGGCATAGATGGAGACAGAGAAGCAATCCCACTAACACTACAGATCGCCTACAGCAAGGTGAGCGCTCGGGACTTGCACGAAGACAAATGGGGCAGAAAACCACTTCAGTGCTGGGCAAACATGTCTGTAAGTTGGGGGCTGAGAGAGGCAAACACTGACAGTCTGCTGGAGGAGCCTGAATCCAAGCCCAGACAAGCCAAACTCAAGCTAATTGTCTACTTACTGGCTAATTGGGGGTGGCTTTCTACTCCTGTTCAGCCCAGTAAAATAGGGACTGTGCAGCCAGTTTCCATCAACTGGATGTGTACTCGGTGCCACTTTACACTGGTGGACTTTGCTTCCAGAGGGCAATCCTGTGCTGGTCATGGCAGTCCTCCTATTTTGTTGGTTCCTCTGCAGCTATTTAGTGTTAAGCTTTGGCAATTTTTTATAAATCCAAAGTTAAATGAATTTTAATGCCTGCTCCAAACTTTGTCTGTACAGCTCCAGGTAAATCCAGATCTGAGCTAGCCCAGAGAGATGCTTAGGGGTGGGAGAGAGGGCAACATCAGCCTGGAGTGTGGCATCTGCCCTTGGGTCACAACAACCCCATGCA